TTCTCAGTGACCTGAAGATCTCCCTCTAGGCCTCACCTCCTCAGGCACCAAGCTTTTAACACATAGGGCCTTGGGGGGACATTCCAGATCCAAACTATAATAGAGTTTTAATTTTATTTTCCAAGCAATGGGGAGTCATCCAACATCTATCTATCTATCTATCTATCTATCTATCTATCTATCTATCTATCTATCTATCTTGTCGCAGTCTGGCTGGGCACAAATAACTGAGCCGCCACGAAGCACTTGTAGGTTCAAACAGCAACTCATTATTCCCAAACTCTCACGGGCACTCCACACACGCTCCCTGGAAACCCTCTCACCCTCCACCGGCTCTGCGCCCACTCCCCCGAACCCCGTGAGAACTCAACGGGAACTCCAAAGTAGCGGGCACCCCGGAGGCAGCAAGAGCCGCCCAATTGCCGGACAGCAAAGGTCTATATACAACTGAATACACAGCTTAATTTAACCATCATCATCTCAATGGATCGCTGGCGTCACCTCTCAACCACTCCCTTCTGGCAAAATGCCATGTCTTATCCTGACTGGGCTGTGGCCCTCAACATCATCCATCTATCTATCTATCTATCTATCTATCTATCTATCTATCTATCTATCTATCTATCATTTATCTATCTGGTACTGGGGATTGAACCCAAGGGTGCTTAAGCACTGAGCCACATCGTTATCCCTTTTTAAAAAATATTTACTTTTTAGTTATAGGCGGACACAATATCTTTATTTTTACGTGGTGCTGAAGATCGAACCCAGTGCCTCACGCAGAGTAGGTGAGTGCTCTACCTCTGAGCCACAACCCCAGCCCACATTCTTAGCCCTTTTTATTTTTTATTTTGAGACAGGGTCTTATAAAGTTGCTTAGGGCCTCACTAAGTTGCTGAGGTGGCTTTGAACTTGCAGTCCTCCTGCCTCAGATTCTCAGGTAGCTGGGATTACAGGCATGAGCCGCCACATCTGGCTAAGAAAAACAGCTACTAATGGTGAAGAGGATGAGTTGACAGGCGGGACCCTGGTGACAGGGCCTGAAATAGGACAGGATGTGGGAACGAATAGGGGGTGGATTCCAGAAAAAAAAAATCAGAAATTAGAAAGCCCTGTGTTTACTGTGGAGTTTGCATGTGGGAGATGGGGAAGGCAGCATGTAGGTCAGGAGCTCAGGTGAATGGCAAGTGTCCGCATCCAGGACGGAGATTCTGGCAAAGGAGGGTGTGGAGATGATGAGTTCCAGGCTTGTCAAGCTAAAAATGAGGTCGCTGTGGGACAGCATTTCCAATGGCTGGAATGTTCAAATTCTAGACTGGGGACTTGAGAAAGGGAATGGGATGCAGAGAGGGATCATCAGTACATTCTACCTGAGGGCAGATGTATAATTATTAATAACAATACCAGGGCTGGGGATATAGCTGAGTTGGTAGAGTACTTGCCTTGCATGCACAAGGCCCTGGGTTCAATCCCCAGCACCACGCACACACACACACACACACAACAATACCAGCAGTTATGTTACAGGACAGGTGCTGTTTTGTGCTCTTCACATGTGTGGATTGTTTTATTCTTACCACAATTTTTTGAGGTTAAGTATTAGTGTTAGCCCAAATACAGAAGAGGAGTCTGAGGCACAGAGAGAGTTAAGTAACTGTCCTAAGGTCTTGTAGCATACAGGAAAAGCTGTCAGAGCTTGGTACCTGCTCCATGCTATTAACCTCTGTGAGCACAACCTGGGAAGAGGGGTTTATAAGACAGAAGACTGAGACCTGGAGAGCTGGGGCTGGGGATGTGGCTCAAGCGGTAGCGCGCTTGCCTGGCATGCGTGCGGCCCGGGTTCGATCCTCAGCACCACATACCAACAAAGATGTTGTGTCCGCCAAGAACTAAAAAATAAATATTAAAAATTCTCTCTCTCTCTCTCTCTCTCTCTCTCTCTCTCTCTCTCTCTCTCTCTCTCTCTCCCCTCTCTCACTCTCTCTTTAAAAAAAAAAAGAGCTAAAGAAATGAAAGAGTAGGTAGAAAAACCAAGCAACTAGGAGGCCATGGGGGTGGGAGTAATTTCTTAGAGGCATTAATAGGATCTGGGGCCATGAAGGGGCCAAGAAGTATGGACAAGCAAAAGGCCCATGAGTTAAAACAGTGAGGTGCCAGTGCCTCCCATTGAGAGCTGCCCCTGGAATGATGGGGAAGAAGGCCCAATTGTAGGAAGCTGAGGAAACGGGGAGCATATAAGTGGGCACATCTTGGAGGGTCTATTGATGAACAAGGAAGATAGCAACAGGGCAGTAGTTTGACAGCAAGGCCTCCTCGAATGTTGGTAGGTCTGAAACAGGAAGAACAAGAAATAAGAGTCTTCTAAGGCAGACAGGAGGTTTGGCTAGAAAGCAATAGGGACGTCTCACCCTCTGAGAAGAGCACAGATGGTAGGGACCTGAACCAGGCAGGAGCTGGGGGATAGACGGAAGTGGAGGGAAAGGAGGGACTGATAAACAGGACTTGGAAACCGACAGAATGTCCAGGAAGGGGTAGGGTAAAAGGTTGAGGCTTCCCACTTCTGAGCCAGAGTGGCACTGAGACAAGAAGGAGGCTTGGGACAGAATAGCTGTAAGTGTGCTTTTAGCTTCCTTCAATTCCTGGTGTCCAAAGGATTCTCAGGTGGAGAAGCTGTGCCAGTTGGCATGAGGGGCTGGAGTGTGGGAGGGAGATCAGGCCTGGAACCCTGGGGGCTCAGAGGCAGCCGTTGGAGGTGGGAGAGGTTACACAAGTGGTAATACACTCGTGGTGATTACAAGAGATAATACCCATAAACTTACACAAGCAAGAGTGTCTATCACAGAGACTGGTTTTATTGATGACTATAATGATATTTGTACATTTTATGAGCAATTCAGTGGCAGGTGCAAACAGGGAAATCTCCAAGTTCACAGATGCATTTTTGCAGTCTTGAAATGCCAAAGTGACAGGGATGAACCCCGGGGGGATCTTACCAGTAAGCAGAAAAGTGGCAGATGAACTGCACACAACACGGGAGAGGAGTCAGGAGTCAGCAGAGAGGCATGGGTCACTCCCTCTAGAATAAGAATCTCTAATCTGGGGTCTAGGGATCATCTCCTGGACTTTTGAGGTTCCCAGAAATTGAATACACATCCAAGTGAAGGAGCACCAGCAAAGGAACGCAGGAGATTCTCAGAGGGGTATGAGAACCTGGTCCTGGAGCTCAGCTCAACATGCTAACCTAATATTGGGCCTCTGAGGTCTCTCCCTGTTTCTCCAGGTTCCCAACTTGCTGAAATTTACCCTTGACATGCAAATGATGGAAACACATTGGTGTCTGTGGTACTTTGGTTTGTGGTTTTTTACCATCAGATGATTCTGTGGCTGAGTATGTTGATTCTTCTCAGGAAGGCTAGCAGTTTGCAAGGCTTTAGAGGAGAGGAGAGGGAGCTATTCCTCTGAGTCCCTGCCTAGAGGGGCAAGTGGGTCTCTAAGACAGGCTTTCCCAGAAGGGTCCTAATCCTTTGAAAATTGTTGGGAGACAGAGCTGGAACTGATCTGGCCTTCACCCTCCTCAGATTCCTAAGTAGTTCCTCTTGCTTGGTAGTCACCCCCTGCCCCATCCTACCACCACTAAACTGGAGTTGGAAACCAAAGCACGTGGAAAAAGAACAGCCAAAGTAGTTTTCCCGTTTATTAAACAAATCTTTCTAGGGCTCAAAAGTCCCTTAAGTGAGGAGGTGGGCGCCAGAGAAGAGATAGGTTGATGGCAAGTGGTACCCGACAGTGTGAATGCGGAATAGCTTTGATTTCCTGCCCCACCCCACCATCTCCTCTGACCTCAGCGGTTTGTTTTCCTTGCCAGGGCCCTAACTCCCAGGGAGCCGTCCCTCCCCCACACTCCTCCAGACCCCAGCCCCAGGTTTGCGTCCACATGCTGCACCCTTACTGTGGGTTTCTGGGCTACACCTCCAATCTCATGGATCAGCTCTGCTCCTAGGCTCCCCCCATCCAAGTTTCCGAGGTTGTGTGTCACCCCTCCCCACCACCTCCACGCGCAGCTCCCTTACCAGGAGGGGTAGTGCGCTCCGCACCCCGCTCTAACCGGGAGACTGAGGCTCCCTGCGAGCCAGGGAATCATGCAGCTGGTGTGGGGTAGACACGGAGGGGATTGTCCTGATCTTCACCCGGTACCCCCAGCCTCCCGCAACCGCGCTGGTTTGGGGACCCCCATTTCTGCTTCCCTCTTCTCTGGAGAGGGGTCGGGCACCCGGGAGGGTCTGGGGGCACCTCACCCTGGCTCCCGCCCCCCTTGCAGCCCCGCTCCTCCCTGCACGGCCCCACTTGTGGCCCCGCCGGCAGCC